GAAACTGTTCTTGGTACTTGAATTGAGATTGTTTTCGGAGTGGATATTTTGATTTTAGTAACTTCGACAGAACAAGTTTCTCATCTACGTAACTAGATTAAATCAATAAAATAGACATAATTATACTGTTATAATGGAAGCTAATTGCTCATCATTCTCTAGATTTGTGTTATTCGACTTTATTTCATACAAAATGTCGTATGCTTCTTATTTTTTTAGTTCATTTGGCTTTCTAACGCTGCGAAGCCTAAGGCAGTGGCACAATTTATTATTGATGCTTATCGGCTTCTTCCTCCTCATCTCATTCTCTCGATCCAAACGGATTATCGGAATATCCAGGGTCCACCCGATGAAACGCTTGATCTTGAAGGAGTAAAAGGGCGTGCCATTCAACATGGTTTAGTTGAAACGGCAAAGATCACAAGTAAATAACTTAAGAATATTTCATATAACTAATATTCACATCTTTGAACATTTAGATGCATGGATTATAACAAATGGGATTTATAATGTTATGAATCGACTAGTAGGTGAAGGATTGTGTGATGACGTCTTTGGCGATGATATTCCTTGTATAGGTTTGTGCAACTGGTCATATGAAGAAGGTACGTTTAACATAAACATTCGCTTGCCATTTTCGGCATAGTATTATGGGTTATTTTTCAGATCACAATGAACTAGAAATTAAGCTAGTAGAATTGCCGCATTTAATCCAACGCAGTAAGGAAACGCTGTATTCAGATGAGAGCACTCACGTCATAATCACATGTGAGGATGAACCTGCTAGCCAAAACAATGGAACACAAGAACCTGCATTCTGGTTCCTTAGGAAATGGCCACGTGTTTTCAGTAGTGGAGCAACCGCTAGTTGCTTAAATGCCAGCACAACTACTGAATCGATACCTCTGGTAAGTATTATTACATAAAAGAAAAAAAATTATTTCTATATAAGCCTGACTACTTTGATTTTATCAGATGCCAAAGAAGCAGTTTCATTTTTGTGTTCACAAAAATAAAAATAAATGGGCACCAAATCACAGTCACTTTCTTTTCTTCGACAGTACCAACGCTGATTCGAATGATATTATCAACAAGCGTAAGGATATCGAAAACGAACTTAGTCTCCTACTACAACAAGAAAAAAGAATCGATGATAAAAAAGACGGTATGCATAAGAACATTTTTTTTTGTCAATAATCTTCATCACTAATCTATAATATAATTTCTAGAACATTCGACTCGTATCCCAAAAGTTGTGCTACTACTCGGTGGTAATTTCACAACACTACGTGCTCTACTTGAGTACTTGAGCAATCAAACGCCTATCGTCGTTGTTCGAGTATGAACTTTTATCGCTAAATCTCTCATATGAATGAAAAATCATTCAAAATACAGAATATGCATTTGATAGAAAAGAAAACTCGTGACCAACTCTCAGTTTATTTCTCTGCTGTTTTTATTTGTTTCAGAACTGACTGACAGTGTACTGTAATTTATGCTACTGTACTGACCCCCCATGTCGTAAAAATCGCTGAAAAATTGCTGATTAATCGCGATATATCGAAACGATAATCGTGAGCTGAAACGCGATTAATCTCCGATTTTTAATGATATTTTTAGCGATTATTACGATAAATCGCGATTTATTCCCCGGTTATTTTAAATATTATCCATTGCTTTATCGCCAATCTGATATGATATTATCGCAATTTCAAAGATATTTTATTTATTTTTAATAAATTGCTTCGATTTTTT